CCGGCACTTCGATGATAGTGGGACCGACCGACGCCTATTGTCATGGTATCTGTGCTTAGATATCCGGCTGCACTTCCGGTGCCGTATTGTATAGAAAAATGTTGGCCATTTGGCTGGTAAGTAGACGATCTAGCTGAATTGTATCTCTTGTGAAATCTACATGCTGCAGATCGGCAAGTACTGGATGGCACCCATAGGTCAGAGCTGCCCGTATCAAACAATACCTAAATTGAGAAATTAATTTTTAAGTAATTACCTTGTACATTATTTAATCATGGTACTTTGAATGTCTGGGCTGGAGTGCCCAACGTTATCAATCCATAATATTCTGAGTCCATATAGTTGGACAGCCGGACCGGTATGTCTTGTCCCGTTTGGTTCTCGTTATATTTGGCAACACTAATGCCATTTTCGGCAAAATAACTTCGGGCTGATTTGGTTTTTATTAAACTCACTCGAGTTAGTTCACTACTAGTTTGTGATAATAGACACAAAATTAAAGATAAAATAATCAATTTAATCATTGTTGTAATTTATAAATTAATTAAATATCTTATAACTATAATAATTACTGTAACATAAGTGTTTAAATGAGATCATCCATAGCTAAGACACTTATATTTATAATGTTTTGTACATAAGAAAACTAAATAAATAAACATGATTACAAATAATACGATATTTAATATACAATACATGCAATAATGATGATTAATACGGAAATTTACATAGATTGTTAAATCACGATGCAATATGTGATTCGGCAGTTATTTTTAATACCAATATAAATGAAATGTATTTTATAAATTATAATGTTGTTAATTACTGTTAAATCATTTCCACATTTACCTTTAAACTACTATGATTCATAATTATAATACATTTGTAATATTACTAAATTTATACAGTGTTTAATTGTGTTTAATAAACAATTATGTTGCATTTCGTCAATTGTCAATTATATTATGCTAAAATAGTGTATTATGTCAATCATAACTATTAACTAATTTATTTATAAATAAACATACCAATGTAATTGTAATGAATTGAGTTGGCCAGTGTGAAAACAACTTATAATAGACATTCTCATCTGCACCCGTATATAATAGTATATTTGCCTCAATAATAGTGTTTTCTATTTCGATTAATATAATTTCTTAATTTTATAAAGTTAGAAAAACCAAAATATACAAATATTAATCAAGTATAGAAACAAAATTTATGAATCTAGACATCGAGCCAATTAATATAGTTAACATTATTTTGATATATTGTATTGTAACAATAATATAAAGTAAAATAAATAAATTTTTTCAAAATAATGCGTGAATTTAATTCCAGTTCATGAATAAAATATATTTTTAATTTATAATGTGTTATGATAAAGTAATGGTTATTGCGTTATTATAATTGAACAAGTTTATTATTTGATTTGAAATCATTGTCCGTAAAACATACAATACATTTGCTAAATAATCAACGAAATAATTTGAGATTGTTTATAACGTACATTAAATGTATATGTCGTAATAATATAGTTTTAAATAGAGAATATAATTAATAATTTCAATTAATTTGTGAAGATAATATTGAATTAAATTAATATGTAGCTTTTAAATCTCTGCTACAAATTAGGTTTAATAAATATAATATTAACAATTTCAATTATAAACATTATGAACGAAATCATTATGCCAACAAATAGCAATAGAAATATATTTTGAAAAATATCTAACAATTTAATTTGATTATCGGTTCTGGCATTTAATTTAGTGTTGGTAACAATTCTATTGAAAATTCCTGAAACTCTAAATATTAATATCTTTATTACTTCATCATGGTGCATTAATCCGGATTCAAAAATTTGCTTATACCTGTATTAAAAATTACAATTTGTTATTAATTAAATTAACAATATGCTAGACTTACGCAAAATTTAACCGATCTCGATAAATACTACGTTTATTAACCAAATGGTAACCATAGTCGTAAAAATATTTCCTATTAATTGTGGTGTAATATTGATGATAGTCGCGTAATACTTCACGAAATACATTTGCATCAATTGTGTCAAACAGTAATAACGTTTTGCCATTAAAAACGTCAGCAAGTATATCTTTATCTAATATTGAGTTATATATTTTGTGCTTTGTTAATATTATATTTAGTATATTCTTATAATGTGTATCACTTGCAGCTAAATCAGAAAAGGTTTGTTTATTAGATATAAAAACAGATATTTGTTTTTCATGACTTATATCACTCAATGTGTTAACTATTGGATATTGTTTTGTATTGAAATATGTTTTTAATAAAATACCACAAAATGATTGCGTTATTACTACTGAACACACTATCCATAAGTATGTTAATAAAAAAACGCCTTTAAATTTTTTACGGCCAAACGTTTGAAATAATATTGTGGATTCACCAATAAGTGGTTTTAAAACATCTAGATAAATTATAACTATATTTAATTGTAATTTATTTGCATATTTTAACAACACCGAAATAATTAATGCTGCTATGAATATATTTAACCAGATCTGTATAAATTAATTGAAAAAGTATTAAAAAATAAATAATAGTTAAAAAGAAAATAATTTATGCACCCATTTATCGAATATATTAATAAACGCAAACATTGAATTGTCCCTCATTGATTTTAAACCAGACATAATTTCAATTAAATACATTTGGTTTGATAGAATACCATCACAATAAGACATATAATAATCTAGAATTGCGCTATAATAAACAACAAAAATTGTCGTAACCTAAAAATTGCATTATGATTAATTAGTTATATTTGTAAATATATTAATTTGAATTAAATAACACAATTATATTTGTGCATATTACTTTTTTCCATAGATCACCGTACACAGCAGATGCTATAAGCACACCCAATTTCAAATTACAAGCCATATATTTAATCACGGTCAAATATGTGCCAAGTAACACATTCTAAAATTGTAAAATATTGATAACATATTTTATAAGTAGTTAGTTAGCTAAATATACAATTTAAAATTTATATTTATTTTACATAAATTATGAGAGCTATTGTGGCTTTGATGGCCTGTAATAGTAAACCACTGCTTTGTCATTCATGTGCTATTAATATATTATTCATATATAAGTGTATATAGTGAGTGGGGTATTATATATAGTGTACACTGATATAGTGAGTGGGGTTTATTAATTATATGCACATTATATTAATCATAAACATATTAAAGGGTCATGGTAAGTGTAAATTTAGTAACGTATAATGTGAATAATTGTTGCAAAATTACTGCAGTGATTCAAAAACCACGTTAAAACAAAATCGTCCCAACGTATCTTACCTTTTTATTGGTTAAGACCAAAGCGGTGTTAATATTTATCGTTTGATTTATATGACAATAATGAATATAATTATCATATACAGGGTGGAGATTAATCAACTACGCAAAAGTAAACTCGAATATCTCGAAATGTATTTGGTCTAGAAATTCAATTGATATATCAAAATAATTATCAACTGCGGGAGTTTATGTTGTGATATGGTCAATATGCCTGACCTCTTATTTTAGGAATAATCTCAAATCAAGCAAAATTTTATCATTTTTTCCATAGAAATAATGTTAAATTCAAACTTAATTTTAAGCAAAATCTTAAAATTGGTCTCAAGTTATTTTTGCTCCTGTTTAAGAATATGCAATCAAAATTCTTGTGCTGCATGTAGTTTTTATAATATAACATATTCGTTGCAAAAGTTGTGTATTTTGAGATCATATAAATCTGAAATATTGAAAAATCATTAATTAATCAAAAACTACATGCAGCACAAAAATTTTGATTACAGATTCTTAAACAGGAGCAAAATAACTTCAGATTTATTTCAGGATTTTGCTCAAAAATAAGTTTGAATTTAACATTATGTCTATGGAAAAAATGACAAAATTTTGCTTGATTTGAGATTATTTCTAAAATAGGAGGTCAAGCATATTGACCATATTATAACAAAAACTCCCGCAGTTGATGAAGATTTTCATATATCATTTGAATTTCTAGACCGAATACCTTTTGAGATATTCGACTTTGTAATGGTCTAGTCCATTAATCTCCACCCTATATTTTGCCATTGATGATTGTCCATGTTATGTTTGTATAAAGGTTTTGCCAAGGTCTTTTAAAATTAATGTTAATTAACGGTAATGTTATTGAATGATTAAAATTTATTTTTAATAGAAATTATTTAGTATAGTAAATAGGATGAAAGTATATTATTATGTCATCGATTTACACACGTTTAATAAAAATCATGATAATTAGTAATTATCATAAGAATAATGGACACAATCACCATAATCTCTTACATCCAAATATTAGTATTCTGGTAAATGATTTTAATTAAACAACATAAAATTTCGCGCCTGTGCGCCTACTTACGCGGGGAAGGGCGGCAGAACGATCCTATAAACAACATTATTCATACTGAATTGTGGTTAAAAATAATTATGTGAAATAATATATTCCATTTCTATAGGTTCCCAAGGTTAGTTTAAAATTAAATCCGAGTAAATTAAAAATTTTGTTTAGGTTTTAACGTACAGTTTGTTTGAATAAGCACTATATCTAAACGCTTGCACAGTGTACTAGCATTTTACTAATTAAATTTTAATCACAAGTAATTCGACATTATCTCACCGACAAAATATATTTGTTGCTTGTTAAAAATTCTGTAACATATAAATAAAATACTGTAAATTGCTATTAATCTATAAATATATTAAGTATTATATAATATATTATAACATTAAATCTGGATAATATATTAAATTTGTTACAATTTAACCAGTATAATATTTTAATATTTCAATACTGATTTTTTAATGAAATATAAATTATATATAATTTTAAATTT